GATGTGCCTCACCAGGCCTGAGTGGAGCCTCAATTCTCTCCCCCTGCTGGCAATGCTCTTCCTAATGCATGCCAGGACACCACTGGCTTGTTGGACACCAGGACAAATTGCTGCCTCATGGGGAGCTTCTTGACAACCAGGACCCCCAGGTCTTTCTCTGAAGTGCTGCTTCTCAGATGGTCAGTGCTTCCCTGTGCTGCTGCATGGAGCAATTCCTCCCCAGGTGCAGAACCCTGCATTTGCCTTTGCTGAATTTGAGCATGTTCCTCTCTGCCCATCCCTCCAACCTGGCAAGGCCCATCTGAAGGGCTGCACAGCCTTCTCAGGTATCAGAAACTCCTCCTAACTTGGTGTAATCAGGCAATTTGATAAGGACACTCGCTACCCTTCATCTGAGTCACTGATGTGCAGAACACTGTAACCTGTGGGAAATTTCTGTTATCTGCTCAGCTTGCTAATGTGACCTGTAATTTTTATCGTATGTTTGCTGAAGATAAACTGTATGTGGATCAAGGGCTGGAAGGCAGGTGGATCCTGCCCCAGACACCACTCTGCATGGAGGACTTAGGGATCCACTGAACACCTTACCAGAGTAAGCACAGGCTTGTGCTCTGCTGTTCCTATTCCTTGGCCACAGAACAACCCCAGACAAGGCGTTGGAGCAGAGGAGCATGTGGGCAGCTGCCACACGGTGCTGGCAACTTCCACACCTGCCAGGCCTTGCCTTTATGCACAGGTGCACCCAGAACTTCCCACACAAGCACTGCTTCTGTTTGACAGTGAGAGGTATGAGCAGGGCTGACTGGAGTTAAGGAAAAGGAAGACAATGCAGTGCAGAGTGAAGACACAAAGAAAAAGTTGGAGAAGGGAAGGTAGAAAGGAGAAGGTCTGACAAAAGCAAGTGTAGTGCAAATAAGAGTTAAATGCAGAGAGAGGCCTGGAGTGGCAAAGAGACAATGATGGGCAAATAAACATTCAGCATCTGAGGAGGAAGGCAAGGCTAGGAAGCAGAGCAGCTAAGGAGTGAGAAGTGATCACCCTGCCTCGTGCAGCACCCACAAGGTGGAAAGCAGGTCCTGTTTGTGCAGGGACAAGTTTGTGCTCAGCTCCCTCAGCAGTCTCACCACTGTGTTCACTCTCAGCACAGTAGTATGTGCCAGAGTCATTGAGAACGGCATGTTCTATTGAGAGGGTGATACTGTCTCCTTCTATCTTGCTGCTCTTGAAATGCCTCTCAAAACCCTTCTCCACCACTGCTGCGGTACCAAGTTGTAGTGCAGAAGCCAGTAGAGTCAGACTGGAATTCTTCTCTGAAGGCAGAATAAACCAATACATAGCTGTGCTGGTGGATTTTTTCTCAGAGCATTCCAGTTTCACAGACTGGCCTTCTTTGATCACCATGTCTGGAGACTGTTCCAGGGCTAACACTGGAAAGGAAAAGTAGGAGCAGTGAGGAAGAGGAAAAAATGGGAAAAACCTCAACTCGGCACTGTGAGTTTGTCGGGAAAGGGTGAGAAGGCATTGGGCAGCCAAGGGAGCAGTTCAAGGCATGGGACAGCTCTTCAGATCAGCAGGGGAATTTCCAATCTCTCCTCAATAGGCAAGGTGCATTCCTGGGCTGAGTCCAAAACCAGGAACCACCTAGGGGCTGCACAAAGAATGACAAATAGATGGGCATTGCAGAAGATTCAGGCATTCCCATTGCCCCCACATTGACTGCTGATCCTCCATGCAGAAAGCTCTGCAGGATGAAGCACTGCCAGGACCTGGCTACACAGCTGGGAGAGCAGCAGCGGGATCAGTGGAGGTGCTCAGGGCTGGCTTGAGTTCACTTACCCAGAGGGGCCAGCATGGCCACAAAGAAACAGCAGGGAACCATGGGGGGAAAGGCCCTGCCCTCTCAGCAGCCTGCCCCTTGTGTCTGCCCAAAGGTTTGTGCAGAGGGAGCAGTGAGTGAGGGTGAGACATCTCGGGGTGGGGCTGGCCAAGGAATGAGAGAAGGCATTGGCTGGCTGGGAGCCCTGGGCAATGACACAAACTGTGTGTCAGCACAAACTCTGTTTCTGCAGGAAACCAGGAGCCCTGCAAGGATGCAGCACGTGGAAGGGGCAGGCTGTGTGTGCTGGGTGTGGAGGGAAGGATGGGAATCTCAGCCATTCAGTTCTACCCTTTTTCCCATCCCACCAGGGCAAGGGGGTAGTGAGGGAGTGCCTGTAACACCCAGCGGCTGACTGGGCTTCACCCACAAGAACCTGAGCACCAGACAGCATCTCCATGTCCCCACTGCTATGGCATGAGCAGCAGCTCCCCTGGCCAAGCCTGTGCTTCACACTCCAGCAAGGAATTCCCAGCTTCTGTTCTTGATGGATTATGAACATTTAGGTGAGGATTTCCCTGGACTCTTGTGCACTTTTTTAACTGGAGGTAAGGAGGAATAAGCAAGTCAGGGCAGCCCTTGTGACTTTCAGCAAGCAGCAGGAGATGTAGTGGATGGGCCAGACAAGATGCTCAAAAACACCAACAGCCCCTGCTGAAAACTCCACTTGGACTTCTTCCTCCTGGTCCTTGTCCTGGTCACCAGGGACATTCCATGGCTCACCTGGCAGTCTCCTGCTGTGGGCAGGGACAATTCTCAAACATCTGAGAGTTCAGGTCAAAGGGTAGGGCTGTAACTTGGGCTGTGTGTCCATTCCCTGGAGACCAGTGGGGCCAAGGACCAGTGGGCTTTGTCTTTCCAGCTGGTGGAGAAGCAAAATGCTGTGTGAACTGTTCCACATCCTGCTTCCCAGGCCATGAATTGATGCTACAGATTCTAAGGAAGCAGAGATGGAGGAAGAAGGGAACAGGAAATAGGAAGGGACTAGGAATGAGAGGACGGAGCGGAACAGTCACGGGGACAGACAGAAAGCCATGAAAAGAGCAGAGTCAGAAACAATCTGACTGGGAGATAAAGGAGGTGAGACAGTGAGGATAAGAAGAATTGAGAGTGAGAAGGTGATTCAAAGTTGGGAAAGAAAAGAAAAGCAGCAAGAGGCCAAGGTAAAGACAGATTGATGAGCACATAGATGGACAGACAGACTGTCATACCGTGTTTTACCTAAAGAGCTGGAGGGGAAGTAAGAAAACTGGGTTCACCCAGTGTGTGCTGGTGGCAGATCCCTGTTTGCCTGGAAAGGTTTGTGCTGTGCTGCACCAGCCTTTGAGTCACTGTGGATCTCCTTCAGCACAGAAATATGTGCCTGTATCATTGAGCAGGGCATGCTGTATCTTAACAGATAAATGGTTGTTCCTAGTCCCATCACTCTGGAAGTGATTTTGGAATTCCTTCTCAAAATCTGCTTTGCCACCTTCCACTGAGTATACAACCAGCTGCATTCTGGCGTCCTTCTCCATGGGTAACTTGTACCAGAACATTTCTATGAAATCTTTCCCTGATGCAGAACATTCCAGAGTGACGGTGTCTCCCACCCGGACAACTGAATCTGGTGATTGCTGAAGGGCCCAGCCTGGAGAGACAGGAGATGAAAGGAGAGAAGTGAAATGCATTGAAGAAGAAAAAAAACCACATATCCTTGAAGTATGTCATGGGATGGAATGGCCCCAGGATATCAGAAAGCAATGGGACAGTGCCCAGCTTCTCTGAAAAAGGCACATAGGATACAAAATACCCAAACAAACCAACTTCAAATACAACAGTAAATCTGTTTGGAGAAATAATGACTTGGGTATACTCAAGTGAAGTATTAAAATGGGGGAGGAAAAAAAAAATTGCAGCATTGCAGCTTTTTTTGATTCAATAGGTCATGGGTAAATTCTCCTGGTTCATTGCCAACCCTCCCCCTGGAATCCTTGGGAAGGGGCAGTGCCAGCAACTGGGAGCAGAGCTGAGGATGCAGCAGCAGCAGCTCCAGTGCAGCTGCTCAGGAGGGAGGAATGCCCACTTACCCACAGGGAGCAGCATGGCCACAAGGAAGCGGTGGAAATGCATGGAGAAAGGCGCCCTCCTTCCAGGCACCTGCCCCTGGGGCCAGCACAGACACAGAGGTGTGGAAAGAGGAGGGTGCAGAGGAAGAGATGCGTCTCTCTGTGGGTGGGCAGGGCAGGGAGCGGGAGGCTGAAATGTCACCAAGGCTCTTGGCTGCCCAGGAACGGTGGGGAATGACACCTGCAGGCAGCCATGAGCTGCTTGCACTCTGCTCCTCTGGCTTCCTGCTGTGTGTGAGCGTGGCTGTGCAAGAGTAGGGGGCACTGCAGTAGGTGCCATAGTTCAGAGCTACCACGCAGCAGGATGGGGCTGTGTGGCAGCCTGAGTGTGTGCACAGGGGTGCACAAAGTGGCAGAAATTGATGGGAAGACAAGGAGATCTCAGGAATGCATGGTTGTGTCTGTGTCCCGCTGTTTGTCTCCTCCCTAGGCTCCCTCACACTCACAGAGTCCCAGCCCTGCAAGCTGCCATGTGGAATCTCTGCTTCTCCCAGTCAGGCCTGACGTGTTGTCCAGGGATGGGAGAAGCTGCTGCCTGCAGAGCTGGTGTCTCTTGGAGCCTGGCAGAGAATAGTTCTGTAGCTGTTCTTCTCTAACTCCAGAGAGGGATCTCCAGGAGAGAACAGGCTGCCTGTGCTTCGGCACTGGGATTGTCCTTTGGGAGACACTTCACTTTGGAGACATTTCTGAGGAGAAGGGTGTGCCCCACAGGATGTGTGGATACACCCTGACCTTCTCCGTGCCAGAGAAGAACCAATATAATCCTTGCCTCTTGATTGCAGCACTGTGCAAAAGAGCACCAGGACACAAATGGACAAAGCTGGAGAAAACCATGTCCTGTCCTCTTCCTGCATCCAGCCTTGCTCACCTGGCCAAGGCAGTGGGAAATCCCTGCAGGCAGGAAGAGACACTCGCGGTTTGTGTGCCCTGAGTTTGGGCCCAGAGCTCTGGCACAGACTCTGCACATGCGTGCTGGGCTGTGTGCACTGCAGGGTGAGGCTGGCCCACACAGGCCATCAAGGGATCCGACTGCCCAGGGCTCTGAAGGGCTTTGCACTGAAGATGTTCCCCTGTGTGCTGTCAGCAGAGGAGAGCAGCAATGCCTGCAGCTCCTCCCAAATCCTCTGCTGCAGGTCTGAGTGTGTCCCATTGCATTCATTCCCCCAGCTGCCTAGAGAAGATTCAGGGAAAGACACCAGATTCCTCTATAGTAGTTGTAGAAAAAAGCAAAGAGATGGGGCTGCTTTGTAGGAACCCCAAATCCTGCCAGCAGCAGCAGCAGCACTGCAGCAGAGAGGAGGCTGTGCCTGATGTGTCCATGCAAAGGGTCTCCAGTTGCCTGGGGTGAGCAGAGGGCAGGGCAGTGCATGGGGAGCCTTGCAGAAGACACAGGATTTGAGGAGTCCGTGATGTTGAGCAGGCATGGCTGCTGTGTGGGGCCCTGTGTTTAGGTGCTGGCAAGCTTGGACATGAGCATGGGAATCTGCAGGCTGGGAACCACCTGGAGTGCCCTGAGCAGGCCTGTGCTGTGCACGGGTGTGTGTTATGCAGGACAGAATCATGGGATGGGCCAGCCAAGAAGGGACCTCAGGGGGTCACTGCTCCAACCTCCCTGCTCCAGCAGAGTCATCCCAGAGCACACGGCACAAAACTGTCTCTACATGGTTCTGGAATATCTCCGGAGAGAGGGGCTCCTCAGTTTCTTTGGACAGTCTCCTCCTTTGCATGGTCTTTGACACTGCAAAACTCTTACCACAGATTCAGGTGGAACTTGCTGTGCATCATTTTCTGCCTCTTGTCCTAGTGCTTGGCATCAAAGTGAAGAACCTGGATCTACCTCTTGGAACCCTGCCTTCAGTTCCTTGTAGACATTGATGAGGTGGCCACTTAGTTGTTTCTTCTTAAAGCACAATATGCTCAGATTCCTCAGCCTTTCTCCTCAACCCCGTTCTCTACAGAGGTGCTCCAATCTAGTAATCCCCTTTCATCTCCTGTCCTGGACATTCTCCAGGAGCTCCATGTCTCTTTTGCACCAAAGAGGGTTGTGGTGTAAAGCAATATCCTGGTTCACCTTTCCCAGTCCCTCAGCTGTGCCAACCTCTCCCTTCCCCTCCCCCTTGCCCCCTTGCTAAGTGCTGTCCATCAATCTTAACATTCCAGCAAGGGCGTCGTCTGGTTGGTGCAGTTCCAAAGATGCTTCTCAGCCCTGGGGTCATTGGCCAGTCTAGGTGTCATTGTCCCCTGAGACTGCCCCCCTCCCACCTGGTTGGTGGCTCACCTACCCCTTCCCTCCCCCTTTCCCTGGGCTTACAAAGACACGGGACCTTGTGGTTGGGATTCTGTTGGAGCTGTTACCAAGATTCTGAGATCTGTGACCATGGAATAAAACTCTGGATGAACCCTCCGGCTCAATCCGTCTCCTCTTCCTCTTCACCTTGCCTGAAGCCTTTCCATTAGAGGTAAAACCAGAATTCCTGCTTGCCTGGACTTGTTCCAAGTGCCCAGCTGCAACATACAGCCAGCCAAAGGTGTCTCTGAGGTGAAACACCACAGCTCCCGCCTCTGGTCAAGCAGCAAGGGCCACAGGAGCCCAGACACATTCCACCGGGCAATATTGGGATCATATTCCAATAAAAGAGCCCAGAACAGGACACAGCACTGCAGATGTGCCTCACCAGGGCTGAGTGGAGCCTCAATTCCCTCCCTCTACTGGCAATGCCCTTCCTAATGCATGCCAGGACACCACTGGCATGTTGGACACCAGGACAAATTGCTGCCTCATGGGGAGCTTCTTGTCCACCAGGACCCCCAGGTCCTTCTCTGAAGAGCTGCTTCCCAGATTGTTGCAGTGCGATTTCCTGTTTCAGCTGTCCCAACCCTCTCAGGTGTGCCAACCTTTCCCCCTCCCCCTTTTGCCCTCCTGCCTAAGAGCTGTCCATCAATCTTAACATTCCAGCAGGGCGTCGTGTGGTTGGCAGATGCCCCTCAGGTCCGGGCTCATTGGCCTGTCCAAGTGTCTGTATCCCTTGAGCCTTCCTTTCCTCACACCTGGTTGGCCCTCACCTGTCCCTCCCCTCCCCCTGTCCCCGGGGCTTCAAAGGACACCAGACCATGTGGCCCCGGTCTGTCTGGGAGCTGTTACCACATTCAGAGGTCTACCATGCTGAAATAAAACTCTGGATTTAGACTCTACGATAGAACCCACTGCTTTTCTCTTCACTGTCGCTTGAACCTTTTCCACCAAAGGTAAACTGAGTTCCTACTTTGCCTGGATTTGTTCCAAGTGCCCAGCTGCAGCACCCAGCTGGCCAAAGGTATCTCTGGGGTGAAAATACCACAGCTGCCACCTTTGGTCCAGCAGCAAGGGCCAGAAGAAGCCAGGCAGGAAAATCCAGGAAACATCGGGGTCTAATATTCAATACCAGATGGTCAGTGCTTCCCTGTGCTGCTGCATGGAGCAATTCCTCCCCAGCTGCAGAACCCTGCATTTGCCTTGGCTGAATTTGAGCATGTTCCTCTCTGCCCATCCCTCCAACCTGTCAAGGCCCATCTGAAGGGCTGCACAGCTGTTCTCTCAGGAGGTGCTCCACTCTAGTAATTATCTTTCATCTCCTGTCCTGGACATTCTCTAGGAGCTCCATGTCTCTTTTGAACCAAAGAGCCCAAATGGGAACATCCAAGTGGAGCCTCAATTCCCTCGCCCTGCTGGCAATGCACTTCCTAATGCATGCCAGGACATCACTGGCTTGTTGGACACCAGGACAAATTGCTGCCTGATGGGGAGCTTCTTGTCCACCAGGACGTCCAGGTCTTTATCTGAAGAGCTGCTTCCCAGAGGGTCAGTGCTTCCCTGTGCTGCTGCATGGAGCAATTCCTCCCCAGGGACAGAACCCTGCATTCCTTTGCTGAATTTGAGCATGTTCCTCTCTGCCCATCCCTCCAACCTGGCAAGGCCCATCTGAAGGGCTGCACAGCCTTCTCAGGTATCAGAAACTCCTCCTAACTTGGTGCAATCAGGCAATTTGATAAGGACACTCGCTACCCTTCATCTGAGTCACTGATGTGCAGAACACTGTAACCTGTGGGAAATTTCTGTTATCTGCTCAGCTTGCTAATGTGACCTATAATTTTTATCGTATGTTTGCTGAAGATAAACTGTATGTGGATCAAGGGCTGGAAGGCAGGTGGATCCTGCCCCAGACACCACTCTGCATGGAGGACTTAGTGATCCACTGAACACCTTACCAGAGTAAGCACAGGCTTGTGCTCTGCTGTTCCTATTCCTTGGCCACAGAACAACCACAGACAAGGCGTTGGAGCAGAGGAGCATGTGGGCAGCTGCCACACGGTGCTGGCAACTTCCACACCTGCCAGGCCTTGCCTTTATGCACAGGTGCACCAAGAACTTCCCACACAAGCACTGCTTCTGTTTCACAGTGAGTGGAATGAGCAGGTATAACTGGAGTTAAGTAAGAGGAAGACAATGGAGTGCAGATTGAAGACACAAAGAAGAAGCTATGGAAGGAAAGGGAGACACAGAGGAGAAGAAGGGCTGAGAGAAACAACTGTAGTTGAAAAAAGAGTTAAATGCAGAGGGAGGCCTGGAGTGGCAAGGAGACAATGATGGACAAATAAACTGTCAGCATCTGAGAAGAGGAGGAAGGCAAGGCTAGGAAGCAGAGCAGCCAAGGAGTGAGAAGTGATCACCCTGCCTCGTGCAGCACCCACAAGGTGGAAAGCAGGTCCTGTTTGTGCAGGGACAAGTTTGTGCTCAGCTCCCTCAGCAGTCTCACCACTGTGTTCACTCTCAGCGCAGTAGTATGTGCCAGAGTCATTGAGAAAGGCATGTTCTATTGAGAGGGTGATCCTGTCTCCTTCTATCTTGCTGCTCTTGAAATGCCTCTCAAAACCCTTCTCCACCTCTGCATTAAGACCTTCATATGCATAAACCAACTGGGTCAGACTGGAATTCTTCTGTGAAGGCTGCCGAAACCAGTACATAACTCTGTTGGAGGATTTTTTCTCAGAGCATTCCAGTTTCACAGACTGGCCTTCTTTGATCACCATGTCTGGAGACTGTTCCAGGGCTAACACTGGAAAGGAAAAGTAGGAGCAGTGAGGAAGAGGAAAAAATGCAAAAAAATTCAACTAGGCACTATAAGGTGGTAGGTAAAGGGTGAGAAGGCATTGGGCAGCCAAGGGAGCAGTTCAAGGCATGGGACAGCTCTTCAGATCAGCAGGGGAATTTCCAATCTCTCCTCAATAGGCAAGGTGCATTCCTGGGCTGTTTGAGTCCAAAACCAGGAACCACCTAGGGGCTGCACAAAGAATGACAAATAGATGGGCATTGCAGAAGATTCAGGCATTCCCATTGCCCCCACATTGACTGCTGATGCTCCATTCAGAAAGCTCTGCAGGATGAAGCACTGCCAGGAACTGGCTACACAGCTGGGAGAGCAGCAGCGGGATCAGTGGAGGTGCTCAGGGCTGGCTTGAGTTCACTTACCCAGAGGGGCCAGCATGGCCACAAAGAAACAGCAGGGAACCATGGGGGGAAAGGCCCTGCCCTCTCAGCAGCCTGCCCCTTGTGTCTGCCCAAAGGTTTGTGCAGAGGGAGCAGTGAGTGAGGGTGAGACATCTTGGGGTGGGGCTGGCCAAGGAATGAGAGAAGGCATTGGCTGGCTGGGAGCCCTGGGCAATGACACAAACTGTGTGTCAGCACAAACTCTGTTTCTGCAGGAATCCAGGAGCCCTGCAAGGATGCAGCACGTGGAAGGGGCAGGCTGTGTGTGCTGGGTGTGGAGGGAAGGATGGGAATCTCAGCCATTCAGTTCTACCCTTTTTCCCATCCCACCAGGGCAAGGGGGTAGTGAGGGAGTGCCTGTAATACCCAGCAGCTGACTGGGCTTTACCCACAAGAACCTGAGCACCAGACAGCATCTCCATGTCCCCACTGCTATGGCATGAGCAGCAGCTCCCCTGGCAAAGCCTGTGCTTCACACTCCAGCAAGGAATTCCCAGCTTCTGTTCTTGATGGATTATGAACATTTAGGTGAGGATTTCCCTGGGCACTTGTGCACTTTTTTAACTGGAGGTAAAGAGGAATAAGCAAGTCAGGGCAGCCCTTGTGACTTTCAGCAAGCAGCAGGAGATGTAGTGGATGGGCCAGACAAGATGCTCAAAAACACCAACAGCCCCTGCTGAAAACTCCACTTGGACTTCTTCCTCCTGGTCCTTGTCCTGGTCACCAGGGACGTTCCATGGCTCACCTTGGCAGTCTCCTGCTGTGGGCAGGGACAATTCTCAGACATCTGAGAGTTCAGGTCAAAGGGTAGGGCTGTAACTTGGGGTGTGTGTCCATTCCCTGGAGACCAGTGGGGCCAAGGACCAGTGGGCTTTGTCTTTCCAGCTGGTGGAGAAGCAAAATGCTGTGTGAACTGTTCCACATCCTGCTTCCCAGGCCATGAATTGATGCTACAGATTCTAAGGAAGCAGAGATGGAGGAAGAAGGGAACAGGAAATAGGAAGGGACTAGGTATGAGAGGATAGAGAGGAAAAGTCAGGGCGAAAGACAGAAAGCCATGAAAAGAGCAGAGTCAGAAACAATCTGAATGGGAGATAAAGGAGGTGAGACAGTGAGGATAAGAAGAATTGAGAGTGAGAAGGTGATTCAGAGATGGGAAAGAATAGAAAAGCAGCTAGAGACCAAGCGTAAGACAGATTGATGAGCACATAGATGGACAGACAGACTGTCATATTGTGTTTTACCTGAAGAGCTGGAGGGGAAGTAAGAAAACTGGGTTCTCTCAAACAGGGTTCAATGTGTGCTGGTGGCAGATCCCTGTTTGCCTGGAAAGGTTTGTGCTGTGTTGCACCAGCCTTTGAGTCACTGTGGATCTTGTTCAGCACAGAAATATGTGCCTGTGTCATTGAGCAGGGCATGCTGGATCTTCACAGATAAATGGTTGTTCCTAGTCCCATTACTCTGGAAGTGATTTTGGAATTCCTTCTCAAAATCTGCTTTGCCACCTTCCACTGAGTATACAACCAGCTGCATTCTGGCATCCTTCTCCATGGGTAACTTGTACCAGTACATGTGTATGAAATCTTTCCCTGATGCAGAACATTCCAGAGTGACGGTGTCTCCCACCCGGACAACTGAATCTGGTGATTGCTGAAGGGCCCAGCCTGGAGAGACAGGAGATGAAAGGTGGGAAGTGAAATGCATTGAAGAAGACAAAAATACACATCCTTGAAGTATGCCATGGGATGGAATGGCCCCAGGATATCAGAAAGCAATGGGACAGTGCCCAGCTTCTCTGAAAAAGGAACATAGGATAAAAAATCCCCAAACAAACCAACTTCAAATACAACAGTAAATCTGTTTGGAGAAATAATGACTTTTGTGCTCTCAAGTGAAGTATTAAAATGGGGCAGGAAAAAACAAATTTACAGCTTTGCAGAGTTACGTGATTCAATAGGTCATGGGTAAATTCTCCTGGTTCATTGCACACCCCTGCCCTGGCATCCTTGGGAAGGGGCAGTGCCAGCAACTGGGAGCAGAGCTGAGGATGCAGCAGCAGCAGCTCCAGTGCAGCTGCTCAGGAAGAAGGGAATGCCCACTTACCCACAGGGAGCAGCATGGCCACAAGGAAGTGGTGGAAATGCATGGAGAAAGGCGCCCTCCTTCCAGGCACCTGCCCCTGGGGCCAGCACAGACACAGAGGTGTGGAAAGAGGAGGGTGCAGAGGAAGAGATGCGTCTCTCTGTGGGTGGGCAGGGCAGGGAGCGGGAGGCTGAAATGTCACCAAGGCTCTTGGCTGCCCAGGAACGGTGGGGAATGACACCTGCAGGCAGCCATGAGCTGCTTGTACTCTGCTCCTCTGGCTTCCTGCTGTGTGTGAGCGTGGCTGTGCAAGAGTAGGGGGCACTGCAGTAGGTGCCATAGTTCAGAGCTACCACGCAGCAGGATGGGGCTGTGTGGCAGCCTGAGTGTGTGCACAGGGATGCACAAAGTGGCAGAAATTGATGGGAAGACAAGGAGATCTCAGGAATGCATGGTTGTGTCTGTGTCCCGCTGTTTGTCTCCTCCCTAGCCACCCTCACACTCACAGAGTCCCAGCCCTGCGAGCTGCCATGTGGAATCTCTGCTTCTCCCAGTCAGGCCTGACGTGTTGTCCAGGGATGGGAGAAGCTGCTGACCTGCAGAGCTGGTGTCTCTTGGAGCCTGGCAGAGAATAGTTCTGTAGCTGCTCTTCTCTAACTCCAGAGAGGGATCTCCAGGAGAGAGCAGGCTGCCTGTGCTTCGGCACTGGGATTGTCCTTTGGGAGACACTTCAATTTGGAGACATTTCTGAGGAGAAGGGTGTGCCCCACAGGATTTGTGGAGACATCCTGACCTTCTCTGTGCCAGAGAAGAACAGATATAACCCTTGCCTTGTTATTGCAGCAGTCTTCAAAAGAGCACCAGGACACAAATGGACAAAGCTGGAGAAAACCATGTCCTGTCCTCTTCCCTGCACCCAGCCTTGCTCACCTGCCCAAGGCAGTGGGAAATCCCTGCAGGCAGGAAGAGACACTCGCGGTTTGTGTGCCCTGAGTTTGGGCACAGAGCTCTGGCACAGACTCTGCACATCTGTGCTGGGCTGTGTGCACTGCAGGGTGAGGCTGGCCCACACAGGCCATCAAGGGATCCGACTGCCCAGGGCTCTGAAGGGCTTGCACTGAAGATGTTCCCCTGTGTGCTGTCAGCAGAGGAGAGCAGCAATGCCTGCAGCTCCTCCCAAATCCTCTTCTGCTGAAGGTCTTAGTGTGTCCCATTGCATTCATTCCCCCAAGCTGCCCCGAGAAGATTCTGGGAAGACCCCAGATTCCTCTACCGAACTGGGAGAAAGAAGCAAAGAGATGGGGCTGCTTTGTAGGAACCCCAGATCCTGCCAGCAGCAGCAGCAGCACTGCAGCAGAGAGGAGGCTGTGCCTGATGTGTCCATGCAAATGGTCTCCAGTTGCCTGGGGTGAGCAGAGGGCAGGGCAGTGCATGGGGAGCCTTGCAGGAGACACAGGATTTGAGGAGTCCGTGATGTTGAGCAGGCATGGCTGCTGTGTGGGGCCCTGTGTTTAGGTGCTGGGAAGCTTGGACATGAGCATGGGAATCTGCAGGGTGGGAACCACCTGGAGTGCCCTGAGCAGGCCTGTGCTGTGCACGGGTGTGTGTTATGTAGGGCAGAATCATGGGATGGGCCAGACAAGAAGGGACCTCAGGGGGTCACTGCTCCAACCTCCCTGCTCCAGCAGAGTCATCCCGGAGCACATGGCACAAAACTGTCTCCACATAGTTCTGGAATATCTCCGGAGAGAGGGGCTCCTAAATTTCTTTGCACAGTCTCCTCCCTTGCATGATCTTCAACACTGCAAAGCTCTTACCACAGATTCAGGTGGAACTTGCTGTGCATCATTTTCTGCCTCTTGTCCTAGTGCTTGGCATCACAGTGAAGAACCTGGATCCACCTCTAGGAACCCTGCCTTCTGTGCCTTGTAGGCAGTGATGAGGTGGCCACTTAGTTGTTTCTTCTTAAAGCAGAACATGCTCAGATTCCTCAGGCTTTCTCCTCAACCCCGTTCTCTACAGAGGTGCTCCACTCTAGTAATCCCCTTTCATCTCCTGTCCTGGACATTCTCCAGGAGATCCATGTCTCTTTTGCACCAAAGACGGTTGTGGTGTAAAGCAATATCCTGGTTCAGCTTTCCCAGCCCCTCAGGTGTGCCAACCTCTCCCTTCCCCTCCCCCTTGCCCCCTTGCTAAGTGCTGTCCATCAATCTTAACATTCCAGCAAGGGCGTCGTCTGGTTTGTGCAGTTCCAAAGATGCTTCTCAGCCCTGGGGTCATTGGCCAGTCTAGGTGTCATTGTCCCCTGAGACTCCCCCCTCCCACCTGGTTGGTGGCTCACCTACCCCTTCCCCTCCCCCTTTCCCCGGGCTTACAAAGACACGGGACCTTGTGGTTGGGATTCTGTTGGAGCTATTACCAAGATTTGGAGATCTGTGACCATGGAATAAAACTCTGGATGAACCCTCCAGCAGAATCCGTCTCCTCTTCCTCTTCACCTCGCCTGAAGCCTTTCCATTAGAGGTAAAAACAGAATTCCTGCTGGCCTGGACTTGTTCCAAGTGCCCAGCTGCAACATACAGCCAGCCAAAGGTGTCTCTGAGGTGAAACACCACAGCTGCCGCCTCTGGTCAAGCAGCAAGGGCCACAGGAGCTCAGGCACATTCCACCGGGCAATATTGGGATCATATTCCAATAAAAGAGCCCAGAACAGGACACAGCACTGCAGATGTGCCTCACCAGGGCTGAGTGGAGCCTCAATTCCCTCCCCCTGCTGGCAATGGTCTTCCTAATGCATGCCAGGACACCACTGGCATGTTGGACACCAGGACAAATTGCTGCCTCATGGGGAGCTTCTTGTCCACCAGGACCCCCAGGTCTTTCTCTGAAGAGCTGCTTCCCAGATTGTTGCAGTGCGATTTCCTGTTTCAGCTGTCCCAACCCTCTCAGGTGTGCCAACCTTTCCCCCTCCCCCTTTTGCCCTCCTGCCTATGAGCTGTCCATCAATCTTAACATTCCAGCAGGGCGTCGTGTGGTTGGCAGATGCCCCTCAGGTCCGGGCTCATTGGCCTGTCCAAGTGTCTGTATCCCTTGAGCCTTCCCCTCCTCCCACCTGGTTGGCCCTCACCTGTCCCTCCCCTCCCCCTGTCCCCGGGGCTTCAAAGGACACCAGACCATGTGGTCCGGTCGTCTATGGGTGAGCTGTTACCACATTCAGAGGTCTACCATGCTGAAATAAAACTCTGGATTTAGACTCTACGATAGAACCCACTGCTTTTCTCTTCACTGTCGCTTGAACCTTTTCCACCAAAGGTAAACTGAGTTCCTACTTTGCCTGGATTTGTTCCGAGTGCCCAGCTGCAGCACCCAGCGGGCCAAAGGTATCTCTGGGGTGAAAAACACCACAGCTGCTGCCTTTGGTCCAGCAGCAAGGGCCAGAAGAAGCCAGGCAGGACACAGCCGGAAACATCGGGGTCTAATATTCAATACCAGATGGTCAGTGCTTCCCTGTGCTGCTGCATGGAGCAGTTCCTCCCCAGGTGCAGAGCCCTGCATTTGCCTTGGCTGAATTTGAGAATGTTCCTCTCCGCCCATCCCTCCAACCTGTCAAGGCCCATCTGAAGGGCTGCACAGCCTTGTCAGGTATCAGAAACTCCTCCTAACTTGGTGTAATCAGGCAATTTGGTAAGGACACTCTCTACCCTTCATCTGAGTCACTGATGTGCAGAACACTGTAACCTGTGGGAAATTTCTGTTATCTGCTCAGCTTGCTAATGCAACCTGTAATTTTTATCATATGTTTGCAGAAGATAAACTGTATGTGGATCAAGGACTGGAAGGCAGGTGGATCCTGCCCTAGACACCACTTGCATGGAGGACTTAGGCATCCACTGAACACCTTACCAGAGTAAGCACAGGCTTGTGCTCTGCTGTTCCTATTCCTTGGCCACAGAACAACCACAGACAAGGCGTTGGAGCAGAGGAGCATGTGGGCAGCTGCCACACGGTGCTGGCAACTTCCACACCTGCCAGGCCTTGCCTTTATGCACAGGTGCACCAAGAACTTCCCACACAAGCACTTCTTCTGTTTCACAGTGAGAGGTATGAGCAGGGTTGACTGGAGTTAAGTAAGAGGAAGACAATGGAGTGCAGAGTGAAGACACAAAGAAAAAATTGGAGAAGGGAAGGTAGAAAGGAGAAGGTCTGACAAAAGCAAGTGTAGTGCAAATAGGAGTTTAATGCAGAGGGAGGCCTGGAGTGGCAAAGAGACAATGATGGACAAATAAACATTCAGCATCCGAGAAGAGGAGGAAGGCAAGGCTAGGAAGCAGAGCAGCCAAGGAGTGAGAAGTGATCATCCTGCCTCGTGCAGCACCCATAGGTGGAAAGCAGGTCCTGTTTGTGCAGGGACAAGTTTGTGCTCAGCTCCCTCAGCAGTCTCACCACTGTGCTCGCCCTCAGCACAGTAGTATGTGCCAGAGTCATTGAGAAAGGCATGTTCTATTGAGAGGGTGATCCTGTCTCCTTCTATCTTGCTGCTCTTGAAATGCCTCTCAAAACCCTTCTCCACCACTGCTGCGGTACCAAGTTGTAGTGCAGAAGCCAGTAGAGTCAGACTGGAATTCTTCTCTGAAGGCAGAATAAACCAATACATAGCTGTGCTGGTGGATTTCTTCTCAGAGCATTCCAGATTCACAGACTGGCCTTCTTTGATCACCATGTCTGGAGACTGTTCCAGGGCTAACACTGGAAAGGAAAATTAGGAGCAGTGAGGAAGAGGAAAAAATGGGAAAAACCTCAACTCGGCACTGTGAGTTTGTCAGGAAAGGGTGAGAAGGCATTGGGCAGCCAAGGGAGCAGTTCAAGGCATGGGACAGCTCTTCAGATCAGCAGGTGAATTTCCAGTCTCTCCTCAGTAGGCAAGGTGCATTCCTGGGCAGTTTGAGTCCAAAACCAGGAACCATCTAGGGGCTGCACAAAGAATGACAAATAGATGGGCATTGCAGAAGATTCAGGCATTCCCATTGCCCCCACATTGACTGCTGATCCTCCATGCAGAATGCTCTGCAGGATGAAGCACTGCCAGGAAGTGGCTACACAGCTGGGAGAGCAGCAGCGGGATCAGTGGAGGTGCTCAGGGCTGGCTTGAGTTCACTTACCCAGAGGGGCCAGCATGGCCACAAAGAAACAGCAGGGAACCATGGGGGGAAAGGCCCTGCCCTCTCAGCAGCCTGCCCCTTGTGTCTGCCCAAAGGTTTGTGCAGAGGGAGCAGTGAGTGAGGGTGAGACATCTCGGGGTGGGGCTGGCCAAGGAATGAGAGAAGGCATTGGCTGGCTGGGAGCCCTGGGCAATGACACAGACTGTGTGTCAGCACAAACTCTGTTTCTGCAGGAAAGCAGGAGCCCTGCAGGGATGCAGCAGGTGGAAGGGGCAGGCTGTGTGTGGGTGGGTGTGGAGGGAAGGATGGGAATCTCAACCCGTCAGTTCTTCCCTTTTTCCCATCCACCAGGGCAAGGGGGTAGTGAGGGAGTGCCTGTAACACCCAGCAGCTGACTGGGCTTCACCCACAAGAACCTGAGCACCAGACAGCATCTCCATGTCCCCACTGCTATGGCATGAGCTGCAGCTCCCCTGACCAAGCCTGTGATTCACACTCCAGCAAGGAATTCCCAGCTTCTGTTCTTGACGGATTATGAACATTTAGGTGAGCATCAGATTCCTCTGAGACCCTGCACTGTCCTTTGCACTGGGGCTAATGAATGGTAGGCAATTCAGGGCAGCATCCTCTACAGTGGATCAGAAGTGCTACAGAAGGGCTTGGCAGAAGCCTGAAATGGCCTTTTCAAAGTTAGAAATGTGGTGTAACTTTCATAAATGAGAGGTTTCAGAAACAACTGAAAATAACTGACTGAAAGACTTGTAAAAACAAGTCTGTAAAGTTTTCCAAGATGCTTCCAGTTCTATAGGCACTGAAAATATTAAATACTTCCTTCTCTGTTGCATACACTATCTATCTGCTCCGTATCACAGGCTATGGAACTTCCCAGAAAAACAATGCACAAAATAGGGGTGCCTGAAAGTCTTTATTAATTTCTCATAATTTTTGCTTGTACAGAGCCAAAAGAACAGAAATGATGATGAGAAAATACAGGTCGCACCAAACAAGCGTCTCAGTTGGAGGCCATGGTGGACTGGATCCAGGAGACGTAGTTGCAAACCTTGGTGTAAACTCCGGGATAGCCCCGCTGGGCACATCCATAACCCCAGGAGACAATGCCCTGGAGCTGTCCATTGCAGACCACGGGACCGCCGGAATCTCCCTGTGCACACAAAGGGTATGGATATTCAGCACGTGGCATCAGCCTGAGCAAGGAGCCAGAGATCCCTGAGATCACTGACCCCAGAGGAAGCCCTGCCGGGTGTACTCTGCACAAAAGTTCTGCACCAAGACAGCTCCTGATTCACACTCTCCACCTGATGCTACCATGCCTGACTTGAGCTCCAAGTGCACCACAGCTAAGGATGAGTCAGCTGCCTGCTTTTGCCGGATGCAGCATTGGCAAACCTTCAGGATATGTGTGCCTGAAGCCTCTGCTGTCATTCAGAAACTCAGATTTACCAGTGCAGTGAGTATAGCTGACTCTGTAATGTGAAGGCCTCTTCAGCTGGGAAAAGGTGGGAGAGAAATGCCTGGGAGAGGAAAGGCAGATGAGTTACCTGGCAGGAGTCTTTTCCTCCCTCCACGTATCCGACACACATCATGTTCTTGGTAATTTGCCCAGGGTAGGCATCAGAGCACTGCTCGGCGGTGAGGACCGGAGCCTTCAGGCACTGCAGCTGGTCCGGGTAGTTAGCTGCAAAGAAATAGGGAGAGATGCTTGCTGGCATTGCTGAGTCCTTTTCAGAGCTCGGGGAAGATCTTAGCAGAAAAGCAAATGCTGGACGCCCTGTTCTAGCAGCCATCCTGCTTCCTGTCCACAGTAAGCACAGCATGGGTCCCTTCTGTAGAGATGGAACAAATTCTACCCATGGGCCCACCATTCTACACTGCAGCCACCTTAACTTTTCTGGTACCTGGAAGTTCATCAGTTGGCAAGGGAGGGGCCGCTCTTGTGATACATACACTGGAGGAAACCTGAGCCTCAGGAAAACCATCCTCTCCCCTGGTGCAGGTCCAATGGAATAGGCACCACTGGCCACGCACATCTCTGACCATCGGCGTGAGAGAACAGAGATCTCTGGTAGGAATTCAAGTTGCACAGTCCCAGACTTCACCCTTACTCTCAGAGAATTGACAACTCTGTTGACATTAACTGTGCAGTCCCTACATTGACACATCACTCCAAAAAGCTGTCCCACAGCACATCCCTGTGTTTTAGCCTGTCCTGTTGGGGGTTAATGGCCAGGTCCTAGAGACTGTCCTGGGCCCCCGAGGGTCTGTAGGCTCCCCCAGAGTACTCACTGCCACTGCTGAGAGTGTTGCCCCAGCCGGAGATCAGGCAGGTGGTGCCGGCGGCCACGCAGCTGGTAGGCAGAGGAACGGTTTGGACAGCATTGCTGAGAGTGGCTGGGGTGGCCAGCTTGATGAGCATGATGTCATTGTCCAGGGTGTAGGAGCTGAAGCCAGAGTGGCGGATGACTTTAGCAGAGTTGATAAACTGCTGTGTGGATTCAGTGAGCTCCAGGTTGTGTTTCCCGAGCTGCACTTGGATGCGACTGGAAAAAAGAAGGCACAGCGTCCTTTACTGCTGGGGGCAGGTTGAGAGAAACCTCCCTGGCACTGAGTGCACTCGCTCCAACACCACTGCCACAGAAGCCTTCTGGGGCAGGGGATCTTTCTTGTCCTGCAGGGAGCCCTGGGAATCCACACTGAGATCTTAACCCATTCCATGCATGGGTGGTGAATTTCTGTGGGTCTGTAAATACATGGCAGCAGTTGAATACAGAGCAGCACTAGATACAAATATTCTGGGACAAGGCAAACAGCTCCAGCCGGACCTCGATCCTCTTCCTGTTCTCCAGGGAGAATGCTTTAGCAAGATTCATGCAATTGATAAGGAATCAAAGCCTAGACCTCTCTGCTTGATTATCCCATTGTTATTTCAGAAAACGCTCTCCATTCACAGGAACGTTTGCAGAAGTGGAAAACCCCTCAGGATGCCTTGGCCTGGCTTCCTGAATGATCCACCCATCCCTTGGCTGTCTCCGGTGAGAATGGAGGCACTTACGTATTGCTATCTCATAGCTCAGAATTCCTGCTAGAAGGGAACTGGAAGACAGAAGAAGGATATAGAAGGATGTAATTTTTCCACTCACGATTTGTAGCAGTGAGCAGCCGACAGGACCCACTGGCTGCTGATGAGGGAACCTCCACAGAAATGATATCCAGAATTCAGGGACACCTGATAGGGCACAGAGTTCTTTGCGCAGGTGTAGCCTCCCACAATCTTGTCATCATCGTCTTCAGCAAAGGTGGGGAAGGCAACTGCGGGACAAGAAGTGCCATGTGTCAACAGCTGGCCTAAGCTAATGTGGCCTGTAATCTGCCCTGTGGCTGCCTGTCTGAAGCCCCTCACTTGTAGGCTCCCCTTCTATGGACACTCAGGGCAGCGCTGCTGGGCAGGTCTAAGGCACATGCATTTGCTGCACCTCAAAGAAGGGGATCAGACTTACACGAGTGCCTCACGTATCTGTAACTAAAGCCCTGCTGGCTACTCCCTGAGAACATAGGGACACTGAAATATTCTTGTTGGATCAGATCACGGGTGTGTCTTTCCCTGAATCCCATCTACTGAAACAGTCAAGGGTTGACTGAGGGAAAAAGTAAAAACTACTGCGCAGTGAGATCTTCTTGGAGCACCGACTGAGGGTCCAAAATTTTGCAGTTGCTTTAGGACTTCCTGGTCCACAGCTATTCCCTGTGCTCTCCTTAGTCCTGAAGGAGGAGGCAGCCTTTTTCTGAAGCTGTGGCCACATCTCCATAGCTGGGTCGGGAACCCCTATGAAGGTGTTCATTCCTCAGCTTGTGGCACAAGGCATTATGAGCAGACAGAAGATGGAAGCTGCAGGGCTCTGACTTGTGCAAGTCAAAACTGGACTTGGCTTTCCCACAACAGGCTACCTTGCAGTTTTGATTTAGAAAATCAGCTTCCTATTAAATGGCAGAAATAGAAAGAAAAGATATACTCACCAGCCACCCCAATAAAGGCGAGAAGCAGCAGGCACTTCATGGTCTCGATTCGACCTCAAACCCAGACTGGCTGACTGGACGTGGGAGCTGCTAGAAATACGTTTTTGGTGATGGTCTTATCTCTAGTCCAAGGTTTTCTCCAGACAAAAAGTACACAGTGGAAAATTTGAAGATCCAAATGTGGGCATTAACAGGCATTGGTAGAATGTACAAATGTCATACACGTTAATCATAAACCTCTGCTAAGATAGAGAGCTATTCTAATTATTCCGTAAGGTAGCCTTCCATCTAAAAATACCTTTTGGCTTTGGAAGACGTGTACTTGTTTGTCTGTCTCATTCTTATACACAGCACCTGTACAACAGGAATAACAACTCTCAAACCTCTTTCAGATTCCTCTGTGCTGATGGTATCTTTCTTAAAAATGCATGTTTTTACCCGAAGTTGCATATTTAAGTAGTGGACAGAGAGATACTTTGCATTTCTTTTGGGAAAAAAAGAAATCCAGCAAACCCAGTGGTTAACTTTGTTCAGTTTATTTTAGCAAATTCCTTTTCTTGAATAATGTGTGTTTTTACCATATGCAATACAGTGATTTCCTAAATCAAATTCCTCCATTGTCATTTCAAAAGGGAGGATAGAAAAACGATCCTGTGCCCCAACAGTTTCCCAAGTCAAATAGTTCAAATATGGGAATGCTCACCATCTCCCTTTTCTAATTTCTCTCCCCTAAAATGTATTTAAATGTCTGCCTAAGTACCAAACCATGCTTTTATTCATCTTTGGAATGTTCTACAGACTCATTTTTGCTACACAAGAATTTCAGTACAATGCTGATGTTTATGAGTGTAATGTAGATGTACAATAATGCTGCAAACAAAAATAATGAGATCTTCTTAAATCTGCAGGAGTGGGGATTTCTGTCATGATGCAAAGTTTCCTAAAGCTTAATGTTTTGCTGAATAATCATGTTCATTCTCCAAGCAGCTGCCAACTTCATCATGTTAGCTCCTGAAAAACACAGGATTCCCTCCAGAGATATTAAAGAGAAGCCGTATGTTTGGAAATGCTGGAATAGCTTGAGACACTAAATCAGAATACTCTTCCTCTACATTTTTTGATTGAAATTTTGTAGACCCTGGAGGACTGATACGCACAGTGTCACTGTCCAGAGGGAAATTTTCCTTCATGTTGAAGTACAAGTCCAAGGCCAGGGCCTTCTCTAAGGTGGTGCATGAATTGTGTTGGCCTTTAAACTGGTATTACTGCACAGCTTTCTTACAAGCATGCTGTATCCTGTGAAAGAAAGAAGGATTGGAAGGTTCCTGTGGGAAAGGAAAATATCCGTAATAGGACTAGGAGGGTCAAAAATTACCGAAGCTGTCCAATCCCATCATAACTAAATGGAGCAAGAAAAATTTCCAGTTTACAATAGTGTTTCGTTTGAAATTTCTACTTTCTTGTTCCAAAACTTGCCATTGGCATAGACAAGGGCTGCCATCAGATGTGCTGCTGAACATTCTGTAGACGCAGTGTAATTTTTTTTTCAGGCTCTTTCAAAGAATACACTCAAGGGTGTACATTTATTATTACAAACAAGTTTTTCATTTCATGCAGTTATTCTGCAGAAGAAAGCTGGTGGCTCTAGGGGCACAGGAAGGGGGAGAGATGGTGACTCAAGAGCAGCTGTGTTAGGTATTATCAATGGACAAGCAATGGCAGCTTGTACTTCTCGAACTTCATGTTCCTAGTTTAAATACTTCAGTCAGCTGTATCAACACTAGACTCAGATAAAAAAAAATACATTTGTCCAGGCTGATGCAAGATCCTGGGAAAAAGAAACCTGGTAAAACCATGGGCTGACAGAGATAAAGCTTTCTAGGAACATAAAACAGGAGGAGTTTCTGAGGGTAGTCCTTTTATACCTCACAGAACCTGTTGGTGGAGGTTGCATTAATTCTCTCTTCCCGCCTGTCTCCTTTCTGGGAGAAGCTGATACATTCTCCAAAGCTTCTTATGCTCCATCTCTCCACACCTGAACAAAACTGCTGTCACAGCCTCTTGCATTGTTCTCTATGCCTGTATTTCTCTTTAACCTATGGCCACAATACTTTTTTTCTATTTCTCCCCTTGCCAAAGACATGGATTCTTAGTGTCCTGGAGAGAAAGAGGATGTAGGACATGACAGGGATTTATAAAATTATGAGTGGCCTGAGGAACCTGGGGAACAATGGGTTTGCTTATTGTGTCTTAGGGAGTAGCATGCAAAACTTGGTGGGGTGGCTTGTTCAGAGCAAGCAAAGGAAACTTCCTCTTTTTTAGGAATGCTATGAAGTCCTTTCCAGAGGTTTTCATGGATGGAAAGCATTTACATTACCTCAAACGAGAAGGGACGCAAGGAAGAAAAATCCTTGGAGGGCTATGAGGTTGAAGGACATCCGATCCAATCTCCCTTGTCCCCAGGAACGGCCTGGTGTTGGAATGTTCCCTGCTACTACAGCCCAGAAAGAGACCAAAGATTATTACATATCTCTCTGGAGGAAAGTCATGGTTGCTTAAATCCTGCAAGGGTCTGGAGAGTTACCTAAACTCATGCCTTCATTTGCTGCAGCATAGAAGGTCTCCTGGGAGCATCTCAGCCCCTTTTGAGCAGCATGGGAGGGCACAGGTCAGGTCTGACCTGACAAAGATGTGTGTTAGAAGGTGGATTTATCTGACAGTGCTGCTGGGCTGTTCTTGTTCAGGCAGATATGGAAGTGGAGATAGGGCTTAAATGATGGGAACACTCGCCCTAATAATTCTGAGTTACAAATGGTTTGCTGGGGGAGTAAAATACCTGTCTTTCCTGGGAAACATAAAGACTACTCAGAACATTGCTTTCCATACAACTTCTCTTCTCTCTCTCTCAGAAAGCTTACCTAGATAGAGATGCTTATGTCTTCCTTCCCCTAAAGCTTGTTTCTGTATTGCTTGCATCATTATTTAAATCTGATCCAGAGAGCAACTGATGGTGATGCACATTTTCTTCTCTAGCCTTTGAGCAAAATTTCCCTGTGTCCTGGATATTCTCCAGTTGCCTTGGTATGATTTCTTCCTGCACTCTTCTTGCTTCCTTTTCTGAGGCAGAGAAACCAGGCATCTAGTGAGGAGTGTGGCCAAGCAAGGCTGTGGCAACCAAGGTACAGTCTCCAGTTTGGTGGAGAAGGAACTGGGAAAGTAGGAGTGTTGCCACGTTACATCACTGTACAAGCTGGCTTGTACTGAGCAAATGAATTCAGCTACCCAGCCAGCTCCATAAGCTAGCCCCTGGGTTAACTGACGGGAACTTCAACCAATTATGTTCCTTCCTAAGCTGCAAGCATATCACTGGTCCAGGATTTGGGGGGCATAAAAGACCAGATATATGAGCTATCCAGACTGAGTTTTTCAAATGCCCTTTATAAAGAAGAGCTGAAGAATAAACTCTGTTGCCACATGAACATCAGGTGAGTGGTTCTTTTGTCTCCAACCTGCTTTCCCCCCACATTCACATAGGAGAGGGATGGGCAGAGTCAGAGGAGAGGGAGAGGGTTTGGTATGGTTAAAAACACTCCCCAAAGAGAGATCCTTGTCTTTTTCCACTACTGTTTACTGCCACAGCCTGCTGTGGTCTCCTTAAGTCACCTAATCATCCTTTTCTTCTTCTAACATCTTTGTCCACTACCTCTTCCATTGACTCCTCTTTCTAAAATTCTGCTGCCTTCTTTTATTGTCTACTGTCTCTTCCTTCCCTATTTATGCTGCTTTTCTTCACCACTGTCAACTCTTCGGCAGACATCCTCTGTCAACTTTTCCATTGCCACCTTCTATTCTTCTGCCGTATTCTTTTGCTACCTTCTTCAGTCACTGCCTGTTTTTCTTCTTCCAGTGCCTTCTTTTGCTGCCTCCTTCTGTCCCTTCCTCTGTCATCTTCTACTGCAGATCATCCACATCCCTGTTCCTTCTCTTTTTCCTGTTCTTCCAATAAAACCTTCTGACATGTTCTTCTGCTACCTTATTCCACTCTCTTCTTCATCCCTTTCTCCTTGTCTTCTACTGCTTCCATCTTCCTTTCCCTTCTTTTGCCACCCCTCTTCCACTGTAACTCCTTCCTATTATTCTAGTGGCAGTATCTCTTTTTAAGGTGGAGCATACAGACCTCAGATCCTCAGTATCCCTGACTCCAAAAGCCTAGGGATCAATCTTGAGTCTCCCTAAGTGCTTTCTGCAGGAGTTGTAGAGAGGGAGGCAGGGAGGAAGGGAGGGAGGGAGGGAGGGAGGGAGGGAGGGAGGGAGGGAGGGAGGGAGGGAGGGAGGGAGGAAGGAAGGAAGGAAGGAAGGAAGGAAGGAAGGAAGGAAGGAAGGAAGGAAGGAAGGAAGGAAGGAAGGAAGGAAGGAAGGAAGGAAGGAAGGAAGGAAGGAAGGAAGGAAGGAAGGAAGGAAGGAAGGAAGGAAGGAAGGAAGGAAGGAAGGAAGGAAGGAAGGAAGGAAGGAAGGAAGGAAGGAAGGAAGGAAGGAAGGAAGGAAGGAAGGAAGGAAGGAAGGAAGGAAGGAAGGAAGGAAGGAAGGAAGGAAGGAAGGATTTTCTCTCCTATATTGGCTCTGCAAGGAGAAAAGGCAAAGCATGTAATTATTAATAGTTCCCAATAGATGGCTCCCGAAACACAGAGGTGACAGCAATGCTGAGCACACAGATCAGATTAGTTTCAAGACTAGCAGTTCTATCGTATCATAAGCTGATATAAATGAATGCTTTAGTTTTGTTTAAAAATATGCAAACGATTATTTTGCTTCATCACACTTTGGTCAGATGTGTAGTTATCTCAACCCTTCGTGCCCCACATTGGCACCAAAAATGGATCATTATGCTTTAACCCCAGCCAGCATTTAGGTACAATGCAGCCGCTCACTCAGTCCCTCACTTCCACTCCTCCAGCTGGATGGGGAGGAGAAAAAAATGTAAAAAACTTTGTGACTTGAGATAAGAACTGTTTAATTCTTAAAAAAAAAAAAAAAACAAAAAAACCCAAAAACAATAACAGAAAAAGAAACACCAGAAA